AGGAATGCCAGGCTGGGGAGTTTGGACTCCATTCTGGGAATACTAGGGGACTCTGAGGGCCTTTCCCAGGCTTGTCCGCCACCTGGCTTTGGCAAGGCCGCTGGGACAGCCTGCAGACCAAAACCCCAGACAGCATCAGAGGGGATTCTGCCTGGAGAAGGCCTTCAATTCCTCCTGACCAGCTCCTCTGAGGGAAACCAAGGAATGCTGTGATTAGAAAGCTTCTCAACCGACCAGTCAGGATGGGGAGCAGAGCCTCTGCTGGGTTCCGGGGACCAGAACACACAGAGAGAGGGCAGGGAAGATCAGCCTTGCTGTAGGATGCTGCTGGCGCTCCCCCAGCGCCCTGCCCTGACAGGCGCTGTAGACTAGAGAACTTGAGTGAATTGAAGCACAGCCCAGAAGAAATGCAGCTCGGTACCCTACAGTGGATACTAGCTGGCTGCCTGAGGTTGAGTTCACAGCTCTGATGCCTAATAAGCCAAGTATTTATGAGGATGATAAAAACAAAAATGCTGCAGGCCAGCTCTGGCTCCAAGACCTCTTTCAAAGAAAATTAGATACAAAATAATGAAGACCATGGAAATAAAGAATGAGAAGAGGCAGTCAGTAGAGAACACAGGTGAGAGGCGGTTTTAAGGCGTCAATGGAAAAGAGGAGAGAAATGTCTTCAAAAGTTAGAGAGGGACTTCCTTTGGGGGTCCAGTGGTTAAGAATCTGCGCTTTCACTGCGGGGTCACAGGTTCAATCCCTGGTCAGTGAATTAAGATTCCGCATGCCCCGCGGTGCGGCAAAAAAAAAAAAAAAAAAAAAAGAGAGAGAGAGAAAAAAAGGACTTTATTGTATAAGACATGGTTGTCAGTTAATTCTAATGTTTCTGGGCTCTGGGATTCGGAGTCAGTCACCTGGCACATGGTAGATGGTTAATAACGTATGCGTGCCTGGCAACAGGGCCAGATTCATAACATAGTGACCCTCCGTCCGTGTTTTGATGTATCAGATGGTGGAAAATAACACGGACGAGGCGAGACCTGGACTTCAGTCCCAGCTCTGCCACTAACTGGCTGTGCAGCCCAGGCCGAGTCTTGCCAACTCTTCCAGTCTTCACCTGCGTAAAGGGAATAACAATACCGATCTCTAGGGTCAAGTTTAGGCGGGATGTAAACGGCCGAACCCCAGAGCCTCCACTCGGGGCCGGATCGCTTGCTGGTCGCGGCCCTGACCCCCGCCCGTCCGTCGGTCCCGCAGGCGCCCTGGAGGACCTGGAGCGCGCGCTGGCGCTGAGCGGCGGCCGGGGTCGCGCCGCCCGCCAGAGCTTCGTGCAGCGCGGGCTCGTGGCGCGACTGCAGGGCCGGGACGACGACGCCCGCGGGGACTTCGAGCGGGCGGCGCGGCTGGGCAGCACGTTCGCTCGGCGCCAGCTGGTGCTGCTCAACCCGTATGCGGCGCTCTGCAACCGCATGCTGGCCGACATGATGGGGCAGCTGCGCGGGCCCCGCGACCGGCGCTGATCCGCCGGCGGGCGGGCGTGGGGGGGAAGGGGGGCGCCCGCAACCAATAAACCTGCCGGCTCTCCCAGCCACCGCCTGTATCTGCATCCTCCGCCGTCCCCGCAGGGAACCGCGCTCAAGTATCCCCGGCGCGCGAGTCCATCTGCGAGGCACGGGACGTGGTCCCGGAGCCGCCGCCCTGGGGGGTGGGGGTGGGGGTGGGGTCCTTCGGGCCGAGGTCGGGCATCGATTGGCCCTGCCTAGCGCAGCCTGGGCCCCTGCGGATGACTGCGGTGCTCATCAGACCTGAGCAGTCGCTCCGGCTGCTCTCGGGGAGTGAGCCAGGTGAGCCGCACCGGAAGGCGGGGCGAGGCGGGGGCGGGCGTGCTTCGTGACCCCCGCCTCCCGGATCCTCTCCTCTTCGGCCCAAATCCGGAGGAGGGGAGAAGGGGCGTAGGTGGGTGAGGGAAGCGGGCAGGAGAGAGCCGGGGTCGGGAGAAGGACGGTCCCTTTGGGGGAGGGGCACGTGTACCCGAGTGTTTGCGCGCGGCGCGCGCGTGTTTCTGGGCCTGGTGCGGGCTGCACGGTTGCAGGTTGTTTCTGTGTACCTGCGAGCGTGTGCCTGTTTGTCCCGTGGAGTCAGCGCTCAGTTCTGTGCCCGCAAGGTGTACAGGTACGTGCTGGCTGGGTTTGGACCTTTGGGCTCGACCATTTGCGTCCTTGCCTTCACCACTGTGGGTCGTTCTACATTTGTGTTTCCGTGCATGGTTTATTTTTGTTTCTGGAGAGTAAATTCCTGGAGCAGTTAAGCTTGTCTGCTCTCACCTGGCTAACATCGAGGCCTGCCCCCTTCTCTCGGCAGCCTGGGGCCCAGGCCGGGGCCACCATGGCGCTGCCTCCAGGGCCAGCTACCCTCCCGCACACACTTCTGCTCCTGCCGGCCCTTCTGAGCTCAGGTACACCCCTGTTCATCTCTTGGCCATGCATTTGTGCGGTCAAGTCCCCCTCTCTCCCCTCCTTGCCTGCGTCTTCAGTTTGGGTACCCATTCCAGGCACCAGAGTTGGGTTCCCTTCATCCACCTCCCCAAGGTCCAGCCGTCCCTGGTTAGAGAACCCAGGTGCTCTATCTCTTGGCCTGCTGCCCCTCTGTAACTGGCCCTCATCCCGGTCACAGAACAGTACTAAGCCTCCACCAGCTCTCCCCAGAATCCCCTGTGTTCCAGGTTGGGCGGAGTTGGCGCCACAAATTGATGGTCATACCTGGGCAGAGCGGGCACTTCGAGAGAATGAACGCCACGCCTTCACCTGCTGGGTGGCAGGGGGGCCTGGCACCCCCCGATTGGCCTGGTACCTGGATGGACAGCTACAGAAGGCCAGCACCTCAAGACTGCTGAGCGTGGGCAGGGAGGCCTTCTCTGGAGGCACCAGCACTTTCACTGTCACTGCCCAGCGGGCCCAGCATGAGCTCAACTGCTCCCTGCAAGACCCAGACAATGGCCGGTCAGCCAACGCCTCCGTCCTCCTCAATGTGCAATGTGAGTGCTCCTCAGGTGGACAGAGACAGAGGTTCTCTGCCCAGGGACCCCCAGCAGGCACCAGGCAAGTGGTCTGGTAGGACATTTAAAAAACACTTAAGCACTCTGCAAATATTAACTCACTTTATCCTCACAATAATCCTATGAGGTAATTACTATTGCTGTCCCTATTTTATAAATGACAAAACTGAAGCACAGAGAGGTTAAGCAATCTGCCTAGGGTCATACAGCTGGTAAGCAGCAGAGCCAGGATTCAGATCTTGACATTTTGGTTCTAGTGTTTATACTCTTAACTTTCATTTGTACGAAATGCTGCCTCTCTGGCAGACCCAGCCATCCTGTTTCCCAGTGCCCCCTAAGGAGAGGTCCAGACCCCTGGCTCCCTTCTGGGTTTGGGAAGAAAGGGAAGGCGTGCAAGGGGCTGTGGTGGGAACATACTGCTCTCTGCTTTGCACCAGTTAAGCCGGAGATTGCCGAGGTTGGGGCCAAGTACCAGGAAGCTCAAGGCCCGGGCCTCCTGGTCATCCTTTTTGCCCTGGTGCGTGCGAACCCACCTGCCAACGTGACCTGGATCGACCAGGATGGGCCGGTGACTGTCAACGCCTCTGACTTCCTGGTGCTGGATGCCCAGAACTACCCCTGGCTCACCAAACACACCGTGCAACTGCAGCTCCGCAGCCTGCCACACAACCTCTCCGTGGTGGCCACCAACGACGTGGGTGTCACCAGCGCCTCGCTTCCGGCCCCAGGTGAGCACTGCCAGCCATGGGCCCAGCAAAGCCTCGGATAGGCGTGGGATCGTGGTGCAGAAACAGGAAGGCTTGTTGCCTTTTGGGCGAGTCTGGTGAAAGCTGTCCCTGGCCACCTGGGGCAAGGAGGACAGAGTAGTGACCTGTGGCATCTCAGAGTTGGGGGGCCCTGCCCGCTTGGAACCTAACCAGAGAATGACCTGCAGGGCTCCTGGCCACCCGGGTGGAAGTGCCACTGCTGGGGATCGTTGTGGCTGGAGGGCTTGCCTTGGGCACCCTGGTGGGGTTCAGCACCTTGGTGGCCTGCCTGGTCTGCAGGAAAGCGAAGAAGACCAAAGGTAGGGCCAAGGCAGGGTGGGGGCAGGGGGTGGCTGGGGAAGGGGAGACGGAGTCAGGGGGTGGGCAGCAAGGCCACGGGCAGCGAGTGGAGCTGGGCAGAACGTCTCTGACAAGTGGTAGGACAGGTCTTCCTGGGCATGGCCATGATTTAGACCACATGCATCCCAGGTAGCAGGGCCAGGCACTGGGAAGCCAGTCTGGGCATCTGAGAGACCCCTTGCCTGAGGGTTCTGGGCCTGAAGAGGGCAGGGGGCAGAGCCCAGAGCAGGTGGGCACACTGAGACACTGCTGTGGTTTCTTTCTCCTCAGGCCCCTCCCGGCGCCCATCCCTGATCTCTAGGTAACTCTCCCTGGGGCTGAGTGCATTGGCCAAATGGAGAGGCAGCATGGGGACAGGGGGGATCCTGGGCTTTCTGGTAGTTCGGGAACGGGCCGCAAGCGGGTGTCTGTGCCTGCTGGTGCCAGGGCCCATCCAAGCCTTTTTCTGCCCTGTAGTGACTCCAACAACCTGAAACTCAACAACGTGCGCCTGCCGCGGGAGAACATGTCCCTCCCGTCCCACCTGCAGCTCAACGACCTCACTCCGGACTCCAGAGGTACATCCAGGACCCTCTGTTGGCCCCAGCTTTATCTGTGGAGGTGCTTCTGAGAAGAAGAGAGACCCTGGGCCTTAGGAGGGTCACACACCTCATCCTGGGCACCATCCCCTCTGTCACCCCACAGGGAAACCAGCGGACCAGCAGATGGCTCAGGACAACAGCCAGCCAGAGCTTCTGGATCCGGAGCCCGGCGGCCTCCTCACCAGCCGAGGTATGGAAAAGGGGCCTGCTGCCCTGCTCCCCGGCCCTTTTGCTTGTGCCAAAGGCCTCTGAATCCCCAAGGGGCAGAGAGTGGTCTCCCAACTTCCAAGGAATGAGGGTGACTGAGTCTCCTGGGATCTCTGACCCGCAGGTTTCATCCGTCTCCCAATGCTGGGCTACATTTATCGGGTGTCCAGTGTGAGCAGTGATGAGATCTGGCTCTGAGCTGAGGCCAAGACAGGGGGTGCCTTCTTGGCCCCTGGGCACCCTCCCGGTCCTCCTCCAAGGCCTGGCCACATTGCCAACGGGAAGAGGCCATGCCACTGCCACTTTTGCTTGTCCTCTGGGTCACTGGTATCCTTGGCAAGGCTGCCAGCTGGACCTAAGCCCCTGTTCCAACTCTGGTTGAGGGCCTGCATGACTGCCTTTGCCCAGGCGGATGGGGCTATCTGTCCAGGTCTGCCTGGAGGTCATCCAGCATCTAAGCGTGGCATGGCCTGTCGGCTTGGGGCAGCTCTGTGCCCCACACCGGTGCTCCTCAGTACAGCAGGCATGGGGCAAGCCTGGTTGGGAGGGCCCTGCACATCCTGGATCTCCTTCCCATGCTATGCAGCTTTGTTCCCTCAGGGAAAATTTAGGACCTTGCTAGCTGTAGAGAACCAACCTGCCCTTTGCACAGGAACTCTCCTCTGGTCCAGCAGCGCTGGCCAAGCACAAACCAGTACCCTTTGCTGCATGCCTCTCTGCCCCAGCCCCCTCTTGGGCATCACAGGTTAGACACTGGACCTTCTCCACTTCTTCACGTGGCACTAGACTTCCCCTCCGGCCTGGGCCCTGGTGGTGCCAGCGCCTGGTGTTAGCACAACAAAGGGGAAGAATGGGAGGTGAGAAGTCTGGTGCGTCCAGGGCTGCATGTAGCTATGCCTTGTTTTCTTATAGTGTTAGCACTTTAAGCACATCTTCCAGGGAGGGGGTGAGCAAGGGCCCCAGGGCCCTGTCTGGGGCTTCCCGAAGTCTGGCCTTTTTATGTTTCACTGTGAGTGCCCTGAGCCCTCGAGGTTGACGGGTTCCCGCTCAAAGTATCTACCCCGCTATGGGACCCCAGCCCTGACTACCCCATCAGCAGGACCCTGACTGCCCCATAAGCAGGAAGCTGTTCTTCCTGTCCCATCCTCTGTTCTTAAGGGGATGGCCGTAGTGGCACATAACTTGACAGTGCTGGAAACCTTAGGGGAACATGGAAAAAGCAGGGAGATCACATATCCCAAAACGACCCAAGAACACTTTTGAAAAGCAACGTGGAAAAGATTGCAGATTGACAGAGTACACAGTGTATTTTTCCCTTCTTGATATCTTGTTTTGTAATTTTTCTCACGTTACTGCTGAGGACAGTGCTGAGCACGTGGTAGAGTCTCAATAAACTTGACTGAGTGAATGCTGTATATCTGTTTCATTCCCTCAGATATGTTTTTTTTTAACTGAAGTATAGCTGATTTACAAAGGTGTGTTAGTTTCAGGTGTGCAGCAGCGTGATTCACACACACACACACACACACACACATATATTCTTTTTCAGATTCTTTTCCATTATAGGTTATTACAAAATACTGACTATAGTTTCCTGTGCTATACAGCAGGTCCTTGTTTATCTGTTTTATATATAGCAGTGTGATATTCTACTCTTAAGTCTTTTAAATCTGGAAAAATTAAAAGACACAAAAAGAATTTATAGTGCATCGAGATAAACATTTTTTAACACCATGTGGTCTAATTGAAAGAGTTACTACTTATTGCTATATACAGCAGTGTCTATGTTTTTTTTTTTTTTTTTGCGGTACGTGGGCCTCCTGCCGCGGAGCACAGGCTCCGGATGCGCAGGCTCAGCGGCCACGGCCCACGGGCCCAGCCGCTCTGCGGCACACGGGATCCTCCCGGACCGGGACACGAACCCGCATCCCCTGCATCGGCAGGCGGACTTGCAACCACTGCACCACCAGGGAAGCCCAGTGTGTATCTTTTAATCCCCAACTCCTAATTCTTTTTTATGGATGAGAAATACTCCATTGTGTGAGAGAGAGAGAGTGTGTGTGTGTGTGTGTGTATTTCATACTCTTTATCCATCTGTTGATGGACACTTAGGTTACTTTCAAGTCTTGGCCATTATAAATTGTGCTGCTATAAACACTGGGGTGCATGTAACTTTTAGAATTAGAGTTTTTGTCTTTTCTGGATATGTGCCCAGGAGTGGGACTGCTGGATCATATGGTAGCTCTCTTTTTAGTTTTTTGAGGAACCTCCATACTGTATTCCATAGTGGCTGCACCAATTTACATTCCTACCAACAGTCTAGGAGGGTTCCTTTTTCTCTATACCCTTTCCAGCATGCTGAAGTGATTAAGGGTGAAGTGTACTGATGTCTGCAACTTACTTGAAATGTATCAAAAAATAAGATAGACTGACGAATGGATAGGGAGGTATGGACGGACGTGTGATAAAGCAAAATGTTAATTGTAGGATTTAGTTGGTGAGTATTTAGAATTCACTGTACAATTCTTCCAAAGTTCTTTTATTTAACAGTTTTCATAATAAAATATCGGGGGGGGGGTGATCCCTGATCTAGTTACTTCTCTGATATTTCTGAAATCTTTTTGATAAGGATCATGGAATTTTCAAGCATTACTAATACCCTTAACATGACAGTTCAATCTTTCCTGGGAAAGAAGACCAATTTTTATTTTTTATTTTTGGCTGCACCGCACAGCTTGCGGGATCTTAGTTCCCCAACCAGGGATTGAACCCAGGCCCTCGGCAGTGAAAGCGTGGCGTCCTAACCACTGGACTGCCAGGGAATTCCCCAATTTTTATATACTTTACTCACCTAATCTTTAATCTTTACTCTCCAATAATAGGCAGGTCACTAGTTACCTTGAGCTGGAACATACAGCAGTCCAACATTTTGGGCAGGCACAGCTCAGGCTGCATTTTCCCACCTGGACTATGTTTTACTGAATTCCTCCAGACACAATAGACTATTTAATCAAGACTTGTAAAAATTAATGTTCAACTTTGTGCATTGCTGGTGGGAATGTACATGGTGCAGCCACTATGGAAGCTAGTATGGCAGTTCCTCAAAAAGTTAAATATAGGGCTTCCCTGGTGGCGCAGTGGTTGAGAGTCCACCTGCCGATGCAGGGGACGCCGGTTTGTTCCCCGGTCCAGGAAGATCCCACATGCCGCAGAGTGGCTGGGGCCGGGGGCCACGGGCGGGGG